ATCTGGGGCTGACGCAAGCCTGGCATCCGTCCCTATCTGGCAAGCTGGGGCTACCTGACAGATGTCTTCGAGTAGCCTGCTGAAGGGGCCACCCTAACTGGGCGGGAGAGCCCCTCCTGTGTGCCCACGCAGCCCGGCCTCGTGGGTCAGGACCAGCCTTGTCTCCTATCCTGTCTCCCAGAACGTTTATCTGTTCATCAAGGAGGCTGCGCTAGGTCTTTCTGAGTACTGATCCCAAGGAAGGGCAGACGAAAGAGAGGGTCCTCTCCGGAGCCCGGAGCGTAGGGGCGAGCCCTGGGAGCCCTGCCACTCCCTCCCCACCCCATCTCCCAGGTGGCGCAGGAAACCCCGCATGGTCGCGCAGTGCCGGCTGCGCGCCTCCTGGCCATGCCATCCTCCAATACAGAGCCAAGAACTAAAAGGCCGGCCGGGGCTGGCACGCGGATTGTCAGAGAAGATTGAAGGCTCAGGCTGCCAGTAGGCCGGGAGAGGCTGAGCCCAGTAGCCAATGAAGAGTGAAAGGTCGTGTTGGAGGCGGCTGCCTGTGTCCATTTCCCGACTCCAAACTGTCGGCGGGCAAGTAGCAGCGGGAGTGAGGCGACCAGAGTGGACGGGGGCTAGTAGGGAGGTCCAGTCCGGCCGGGGGTGGGGTGGTGGGGAGCCAAGGTTCCAGCACTGGCGTTGAGGGCGAGGAGAGGAGAGCTGCAAGCTAATGGGAAGGCACGGACTGTGAGCCCACCAACAAGGAAGAGCCTCGGTACCGTCGGCGGGGCGGGCCTTTGGGAGGCGGGGCCTATGGCGGGGAGGCGGGGCCTGGGCGTGCCAGGCTCCCCTCAGCCCCAGGAGGTCCGGATCCAGGGCGAGGTGCGGCCCTCATATCAGGGGGAAGGGGAAAGGTCAAGGGATCCGGGGTTGGTTGGGGACAAAGGTGTGTGTGAGAGGTTGTCGAAGAAAGCTCAGTGGATAGCTTCCTGCCGGGGGCAGAAAGAGATGCGAGGCCAGGGCTCGGAGTGAGGAGCCTTGCAGGCCTGGAGGAATAAAGCGCTGGAAGGAGTTCGGGATTTAGAAAGGGCCTCGGACTGACTGCAGGGCGGAGCTGCTGTGGGCAGACCACGGAGACTTGCGAGGGGTGTGGCCAGCGGGGGTAAACGAGACATGATGATCAGCAGCCTGTGCAGCCCGTTCTCTGTCCATGATACCTGTGGAGGCTGAGGGGCCGGCTCATCCTGGGTCTCAGGGAAGGAGCCTCCATCCTCCACCCCCACAGACCCTTAGAGTCCTAGAGAAGCAGAAACAGCCAGTCCAGACCCCAAAGCTGTGGAGCCCTGGGAAGGAGAGGCATCTAGTAGCCTTCCTCCCTGCCATTGGTGCCCACCCAGGTGTGAATCCAGGTGTAGGGTGGGTGGGGTATTGAGGCAGGGCTTATGTCAAAGGCAGCCCTTGGACAAGCTGCTTCTCTTCCTGAGGCTCAGGTTCTTCATATGCAAATTGGGCGATGTTGCCTTCCCAGGCTGGGGATAGTGAAAGTCAAGGATCCCTGGGCAGGAAAGCCTGGCCTTGTCCTATACCAATACCAGTGTTTTCACTCCTGAGGCTGATACTGCTGACAGTGCTCCCTAGAAGGCGGTGCCTACCCCCATGTAAGTCCCCACCCTGAGCAGCAGGATCACAAGCTATGACCTGCTGCAGGTCAGGCTCCCCTGCTGTCCACTGGGATGGAGTCTGGGCAGGCCTGTCCCCTGGCAGGGTGTAGACAGCTGTGCTTGCCCTGGGCTCACCTGGTTTGACCACGTGTCTCCAAAGACTTTGGGCCTCTCAGCTCATGCCTGCTTACCTAGGTGCCAGGGAGCATTGCTTAATCAATTTATTTAACTCATCCTGTCTAGAGTCAAGGGCTGTGGGTGGCTGTGAGAGCCTCTCTGCCCCTTGGGCACCTCCTCCCCAAAACTAGCCTGGCCCAGCTGTCCATGGAGGCCTCCTCAGACAGTGGAGGAACATATCCTCTGAGTCTGGGGGTCATGATGTGCCAGACTTCACACCCTCGCTGTCCCCATTTTCTCCGATAGCATTGAGGAGAGCTTGCTGGTGGCTGTCAGGCCTGCAGGGGCAGCAGAAGCCCCTACAGGGAGAGTGGGAGAGAGTCGGGGCACTCCAGGCCATAGAACTGCAGGCCCTGCTATACCTACTCTGGCCATTCTAGATCAGTCCTGGCCTGGGCCTGACTTCAGCCTGGAGTCCCTTAGCTCTCCCAGTTCCTGGCACAGAGCAGAGTCACCTGCCACAGGAGAAATGCCAACTGCTTTGCCTTCAGGGGGTGCTCCCGAGGCTTGGCCTGCCAAGCCAGCCCTCCCAGGTGGAAGAGGACAGCCCTCTGGCAAAAGGGGACACAGGCAAATGTTAGGGAACAGCAGTGACGTGACCTCAGGGCTGCATGGGTAGGCCGGGAAGACGCCCCCCAGACATCACCAGCACCCCCTGCAGCATGGGCCCAGCCCTGGATACATCAGCCCGACACTCCAAGTTCTATCAAGAGTGGCATTTATTCTCCTCATGGAGGTGCGGCGCTCCGGGGAGCTGGTGCTATTGTGCTTAGGAAGGAGGTCTGTCCGTCCGTCCGTCTGTCCGGCCGGCCCGGCCCCAAACGGGGGCAGAAGAGGGGCACGGCCCGAGTAAAAATCCCGGCCTGTTCCGGGTGGGAGTGTGTACAAGGCGGCGGGGCGCAGGCGGGGGTGGGGGCAGGGCAGGCCGGCGGCCACAGCCCCCACCTGAGGGCCCCCACATCTCGGGCCCTACTCGTAGAGTCAGTACAAAATAGGTGCTACCTAATCGTTCTACCTGAATTTGCTAAGTCGGTTATTGTGCTGCTTAGTTATGGGGGCAGGAGGGGGCCCATGGCTTTCCACGGCGGTGGGGTGTGGGGAGAAGGGGACACCCTGGCCAGCCCATGGCCCCTCTCCTTAGGTAGGTAGACAGGCGGGGGTGGGGGGGGGGGCACCTGTGTGTGCATGTGCATGCGGGTGTGCCCAGCTGGGCAGGCTGGCCCCAGCTTGGGAGCTGTGTGGGCACTGAGCTGGGGTATAGGGGGTTTTGGATGCGGGCCCTGCTGTGCTGGGCCCTTGGTCCACCCTGTGGGTGTAGCTGGGTGCCAGTGGGCTTGGTGCCCATGGAGATGGCTGGCCAGGTCATACACTCCAGAGTGCACTTTTGCGTCTGGCCTGGGGCCCTGGCCTAACACTGCAGAGCTGTGGTGGCCAGGGGATGGAAGGACTGGGAGTCAGTATGGGTGGCCCTGGTGGCACCAGGCCTTGGGGCCCTGGGTCTGTGACACCTGAGCTGAGAACGCCAGGCCCAGTCAAAGGTAGAGCCCGGCTGTGCCCAGCACTGGACCCGGGCTGGGGTGAGGAGAAGTGAGGGGGTCACGGTTGGGCCTAGGGACCTGGCCTCTCTCTGCATCTTTGGCCATCCCTGGCTCAACAAAGCAGGCTGGGCCCCTGTCACAAACATGCACCACCCCACCCCCCACAGGTCGCTGTGTCCTGGCGGACTCAGCAACAGCCCTGGCACATAGTAGGTGCCTAACCAACGGTCGGTGGGTGATGGACGATTGAAGGAGGGGTCTTGGGGGCAACCACCCCGCCCCTGCCCCTGGAACCATTACACCCGCCGGGCTCTGCCGTGGGGGGTTAGGGAGGAGGAGGGGGGAGAAAGTCTGCGCGTGCGGCCCCGCGCAGCGTCCCTGATCTAGGGGCCTATGGGGAGGACAGGGCAAGGGGATACCTGATTCTCAGTAACTCTAGAGGCGGCGGCAGCTTCGCATGCAGTGCGCATTATTGCTCTATAGTCGGCGTCGGACTAACTAAGAGGGAGAGGGAGCGGGCAGCCCCGGGAAGGGACAGGAGAAGGGTTGGGGCGGGGTGTGTGGGGGGGGGGGGGGGGCTGCATGCAGTGACGTCACAAAGGCGGCGGCCAATGGGGCGGGCCCTTGGGGCGGTGTCGCCGCTGAGGCTTTGGCATAGACGCGCGAAAGTTGGCAACAGAGTGGGGGCGGGGCCGGGGCTCAAGAGAGGGGCGGGCCTATGAGGGGCGTGGCCTGAGGCCCCCCAGGGGGCGGAGCCCAGGTTGGGGCGAGGTTCAAGGGCGGGGAAAGATCCTGGAAGTCCCAAGCCCCGGGCGTCGGCTGGAAGGATATGGGCCTCAGCGGCCGTTCCCTGACCCGAGTGCAATCGTTCATAAATAAAACGTACGAATACAAAAAGAAAGAAACCCGACGCATCCGCAATCCCCCCAAGGGGCTTTACCCGCAAAGCGAATACGGAGGGGTGTGTAGAGGGCCGTGCCAGGTCTGCCTGCCGGGCGCCAGGAATCCGTCCTCCAACACCAAATGCCCGGGTACGAGGGGAGGAGCCCCGGGGCAGGGCGGGAGCGGGGTCTGAGGAGGTCGGATAAGTCCATGCGATTCGATATGCGTCATTATTATTCGTTATGGAGGACAGAGCCCGAGAAGCTGGGCCGGAAGAATTCGGATTTGGCAGAGGATGCGAGGCGAGGGTAGGAGAGCGGCTCGGACTGAGGCCCCAGAAGGAACCCAAGGGAGAGGGGTGCCGCCATCCGCCCCCTCCCCGATCCCCAATGCGTCTAACACTCGCGGGGTTCAGCGAAGACTGAGGAGTAAGGATGCCTCTGCAGGCCCCCTCCCTCCTGCTCCTCTCCCGGTCTGCTGCCGGGGAGGGGCCGGCTCCCTGGACGTCTAGGCCGCAGGCCTGGCCCTGGAAGGCTTGGGAGGGGTGGGGAGGACCTGAGTCTCTAAGACGCAATCTAGGGGCACAGAGGAGGGAGAAAGGGGGCGCTCCCTACCTCACTCCACCCCCGTCTTCAGAGACCTAACTCGGAGATGAGGTTCGGTTCCGGGTCTCCTCGACCCTATTGCTGGGAAAAAGCCTGGGGCACCCTGGAGGGGAAGGTAGGGGGCTCGGGGTGGGTCTCCCTCGGGACCCTATTGCTTGAAGGGGCCGGCAAGGCCCCTGGCGGGCGGGGCGGAGCCGGGCCCCCTCCCCCTATTGCTGTGAGGAGGGGCCTGCCCTCCCGCCCCTCCGCCCGGGCGCCAGCGGAGACTTCCCTGGGGGCCCGTATTGCTGAGAGCCGACCCGGCTGGCGGAGGCACCGCCGCCCTAGGCCTGCACAGGGCTGAGCTGCGGCGGCGCAGCGGGCGCCGGGGCTGCGGGGCCGCCGCCGCCGCCGCCGGCCCCGCCCTTGAAGCAGGCCGACTCGTAGTGCTTGTTGAGATAGGACTTGAGCGCGAAGCTCTTCTTGCAGCGCTTGCACTGGAAGTGCTTGAAGGCCGAGTGCGTCTGCATGTGCGCGCGTAGGTTGGAGCGGTCAGCGAAGGCCTTGCCGCAGTGCGCGCAGCCGAAGGGCTTCTCGCCGGTATGGGAACGCATGTGGCCCTGTAGCAGCCAGGGCCTCGAGAAGGCCTTGCCGCACACGCCGCACTTGTGGCGCAGGTCGTGCGTGAGCAGGTGCATGGCCATGGCCGGCATGGACACGTACACCTTGCCGCACGTCGGGCAGCGCCGCGCCAGCTGACTGTCCAGGCTGCGGTGCGTCTGCTTGTGGCGGCTCAGGTTCGACGAGGTGGCGTACGTTTTGCCGCACTCGCCGCATGCGTGCCGGCCCCCTGCGCCGCCGGCCCCGGTGCCCGCGCGCGCCTCGGTGCCCGCCCCCGAGCGCGCGCCGCCCCTACCCCCGGGCCCCGACCCGCACCGCTCGCGCCCGCCCCGGCCCCGCCTCCGCTCTCGGTGTCGGAGGCCGCCGCAGAGGCCGTGGAAGGGGCGGCGGCGGCGTTGGCGTTGGCGGCCTTACGGCGCGAGCGGCCGTCGGTGATGAAGAAGGCGTCAGCTGCGTAGCCCTCGCTGACGGCCGCGTCGCCGTTGATGTAGCCGCCCGCGGCTGTAGCCAGCTCCGGGCGCGGGGTGGGCGGCGGCGCCGAGCCCACGGCCGCCGGGCCCAGCTCTCCCCGCACGGCTGCAGCGTACATGGGCTCCGGGACGGCCCTTTGAGCAAGGCCGCCTCGGCATCGCCATCGTAGACGGAGGCGGGCCCCGAGTAGTCGTTGAGGTATCCTGAGGGCCGAGGCGGACAGACGGGCAGACAGCGGGAGGGCAACCAGGCAGCGGGCGAGACACACACACGGGCGGGCAGTAGGAGACACCGGGGTCGGGGAAGGAGGGAAGGGGGAAGGACAAAGGAGAAGGGCCGAGGGGCCGCGGGACAGGGAGTATGCAGACGGCAGGGAGGGGAAGAGAGCAGAGGAGAGATGAGACAGGGCTCGGCCGGGCTCCGCCCCGCCGCCCCCCTCCCCCGCGCCTGCCCCACCCTCAAAGCGGGGGAAAGAGGCGCATCTTCGGGCGAGTCTGCCCCCCTTCCTCAGAGCCTCAAGGTCAGGGGGGAGGGGCGGCGCTTCCCTCGCCCTCCTTCCCCTTCCCCCTCTCTTCCCCTCCCCTCCCCCACCCTCGGCTTCTCCCCACTTCAGCAGTTTTCCCTGATTATGCAACACACTGCAGACCCGCAGCGCACAAAGCCAGGACCGCCCGCCCAGGGACCCCATCTCTCTTGCGTCTCAGGGTTCCCACCAGCTCTTCCCCCGGGCCCCAGAACCTGCGCCCCATCTGATGCTGCCCCTCTCTGGTCCCCTAGGTTCCCCAAAAAGCCCTGGAGACAACTACCTCCAGCAGCCCTCTAGCCCTCACCAGCACCTCCCTCTCATCTCCCAGGTCTCCCACTCCCCACTGGACTTGACCCCCTTCCCACTCCAGCCCTATCTCCCTCCATCCACTCTGCTTCTCCCCACTCCCTTCAATCATCCTGCACCCTTGGGTCCTACCTTGTTCCACATTGCCCTCTTCCTCCAGGCCCTAACCCCTTGTGGCAGCCTTCCCAAGCCCCAGGACAGGCGACCAGGGAGACGCTGTGTTGGAGAGAGTGCCAGGGCGTCCACCAGGGGACACCTTCACAGGGACAAACTGCAGGCAGGCAGGCAGCATCATTCATGCCAGTAACGCAGTTGTTCTCAAGGCACAAGATGGATCTCACAACCTCAAAGTCACAAATGCACACCCCACACCATGCAGGCTCTGGCTTCTTCGTGGTCACACCCAGCTTCCCAGCCACCATCAACCGTGGAGTCCCCTCACACGGTGGGCTGCACGCTGATCTTGGCACACACCACCTACTCATGCAGGGTCACACATGCAACCACCCAGACAAACTGTCAGCCAGGGTCGCCAGTCACATGGATGCACAGTGGCCTCAGAGTCACATGGTCCCATGTAGTGGCACACAGGCAGGCACACACTCATACAGGGTCACACATAAGCGCACACAGTCACATGGTCACACGCAGTCACATGGGCGCACATAGGCTCACACACAGGCTCCTGCAGGTCACACTTGTTCTGCCACCCCACGCTGGCACTCCCAGCCCCTTTGCCTGCGTGTTAACAGTTGTCCTTGAACTTGGACACCCTTACACAAAGAGCCTCCCCTGACCACAGCCCGCCTGCCTGCCGACACCTTTCTCCCTGACCCTGGCTTCAGAGAAGACACTGCTGCTGCCTCTGCTGGTACCTTTGCCCTGACAGGTGGGCGGCCCAGACTAGACCCCATGCCTACTCCCTGGAGCTCACAGTACTCCCCTGCTGGCCCTAGCAAAGGGTCCTGGGGGTGTAGCCAAAGAAGAAAAAAGGGTACTGAGGCAGGTCCAGGTTTCTAGGTGTGGATCTGCAGGCATGGCTAGGTCCTGTCATGTCAGCAGTTGTCCATGTGGCTGTGTTTGTCCCGTCATGGGTCAGCGTGTGGGTCAGTGTGTACCTTCAGGGACCTCCTGTTCCTGGCCCCTGCTCCCACCCTCTCTCCTGCATTGACACTCTCCCTACCCAACCTTGGCCGGGTTCTGGACTGCCTCTGCGTTCCCCTCTCCACCCCCATCTCCATCTCCCTCCACAGTTGGCTCCAGCCACCAACTCCTGCTAGTCCTGGTTCCCTCGGGTCTATTTCCTGGGGCCCTTGCCCCCTCCACCCCCACACTCTGGCTCTCCATCCCTTCCAGCATTGCCGTGGGCCCCTCACCACCACCCCAGCCCCAGCCTAGCTCGCACCTTTCTCGTGCAGTCGCACGCCGAGGTCGCTGCGGGCACGCCCGTAAGAGCTCTCGAGGTCTGCCGAGGAGAACGTGTCAAGTTTGACCTTCTTGACCAGGAAGGACCTGGGCATGATTCCTGCGGGGCTCCGGCGCTGCGGGCCTACGGAGCCAGGGCGCGGGGGGCTGCGGCCGCGGCGGGGCCCCGTCACCATCCGAGGAGCGATGGAGGCAGCACGGGTCCCCACTCTGGCCTTTGAATGCTGCCGCTGGAGTGCCGTCTTCTCTCCTCCTGCCTGCCTGCCTGTCTGCCCTGCGTTTTCTCTTCTGCTCCTCAGGATCCCTCCTCTTCTCCTTCCTTCTCCTTCCTTCTCCTCTCCTCTCCTCTCCTCTCTCTTCTCTTCCTTCTCTTCTCTTCTCTTCTCTTCCTCTCTTCTCTTCCTTCCTTCCCTCCTCTGGTCCCGGCTTCCCAGCCCGCAGTGCCGCCCCTGGACAGGCGGGGGAGGAGGCTGGGGGGGCGGGGAGGGGGAAGCGGCTCCGTCCCGGGCCCGGAGGCTGCGAGTGGGTGCAGGGCTGGCCCGGCTCCGCGGCCCCCTTCCCCTCCCCCCCGCCGCCGCGGCGGAGCCTCAGTCAGCGACCCCCATGGCCCCGGGGTGGCGGCGCCGGGCCCGGAGAACGCGGCGACGGCGGGAGCGCCAGCAGCTTCAGCACCGCGGCCAGCGCCGGCCCGGCCAGCACCTCGGCCAGCGACCGGGCGCGCTCAGCCCGCGCGGGCGGCGAGGGGCGGGCCGCGGAGGCTCGGCCGCCGGGCGGGGGTCTTCGGCGGGGGTCTCTGGGAGGCTTGCTTTATTGTTCTGCAGCCGGAACGAGAGGTGGCGGCGGCGGCGGCGGCGGCGGGCGGCGGGCGGCGGGCGGCGGGCGGGGGCGGGGGTCCTCGGGGGGAGGGGTGCGCAGGAGGGCGGGCCGAGGGAAGGAAGGAGGGAGGTACGGGGGCTTCGGGGGCGGGGCTCGGCGCTCGGACAGCTCCTGGGCCCAGCCTCCTGCGCCCGCGGCCGCCTCTGCCTGCGGCCAGGCCCAGCCTCTGGCTTTTAAAGCCCAGGAGCTGCGGGAGGGGGAGGGAGGGGAGGGGACAGAGGCCGGCGGAAATGGCTGCGCTGCGCCCGGCCCCGGCAAGGGTCTCCCGGGAGGGGTCTTGGGGATGCCGCGGCCCCGGCATGTGTGGAGTTCCCCTGAGCAGCTCCCGGAATGGAAGCCCAGCGGTCCGCGGCATTGTCAGGAGTAGGGGCAAAGGTGGAAACAGACCTGGGACCCACGAGCCCGACTTGGATCTTTTGGGGAGGAAGGAAGGCGGACCCAGTCTGGTCCAGCCTGCCTAGCTTTCGAGTGTGGAGGCGGGGCGGGTGGAGGAGGCGGGAGGCGAAGGAGCGAATGCTGAGGCAGCGAAAGCTCACTGTAGAAGCAATGCGCGCACCCTGTTGCCGCAGTGTCTCCCTGCCACTCGGTCACCGGGCTGACCCCGTGCCCGCTGAAGAGGCCTCCCTCCACCCCTCCTCTCTCCCAAGGGGCGGATGTCGAGCGCAGCGGAGGGGGAGAGGGGCTGCCATGCCCTTGCTCCAGAAATTCGGCTTCATTGGTGGTTTTCCGCCCTTCCGCGCCACTGCAGCTCCCCAAGGCGGCCCCGCAACCAGGCGGATAACCCTTCCCGCGGCCGCCCGCCCCGAGTTTGCAGCCCCCATGACGTCAGGCACAGCGGCCAATGGCGGGGCTCCGGGGTGCAGGGGGTTCCGGGCCGCACAATGGTCGCGCGCGGGGACATATGTCCCTAATTAGGGCCCGGCGCCGCCATTGTCCTCTCACCCGCTCCCTCCCGGTGGTTCGGGCTTGCACGCTCGGAGCGCGCCCCCACGCGGCCCGCTGTCCCTGGGGACCAAGGTCGCAGGGGTGGCTCCGGGGAGTGTGCGGGCGCGGTCGAGCCGAGAGCGCGCGCAAGGGAACGCGCGCGTACACCGGTCGCTGCACGCGGTGACCTTGTGCGGGGCGGCCCGGCGGGCCCGCGGACACCGGCCGGGAGCGCGCGGCGGGCGGGCCACACCGGGGGCGCGCAAGCGGGGGCTTGCCAGGAGTGCGGAGCTCGGCGCCCAGCCTCCACCCGCTTGCGCGGCGCTTCCTCCGCGTCTCGGCACGGGAGCCAAGAGAGCTCGAGATCCGGTGTGAGCTAGCCAGCCCGGCGCGGGGGGCGCGGCGGAGAACACAGCCGGCTTTGTGGCGGTGGCCTGGGCAGCGGCAGCGGCGGGATATTCATCTTGCGTGGCACTTGCTCCCGAGGGGCGGGGGCGGGGTGCGGCCGCCCCCTTATCGCAGAGCCGCAGCCGGCGAGGCCCGCAATGGGGGCGGGGACGGGGGATCCCCCTCGGCCGAACCGCTCGTCCCTGTTCCCTCCCAGGGGGGCCGGGCCGAGGCGCAGCCGGAGGCGCGGGGCCAATTACCATTTTGATTGCTATACTGGGGGGCCCATCTGGACCGAGGGCTAATTACCTGGCGAACCCTCGGGGCTCCGGCGGGATGTGCCGGACGCAATCCCTTCACCCCGCGCTCCCCGCCTCCTCCCAGACCATCCGCCCATCTCTGTTCCCGACCACATCCCTGTCCCCTCCATTAGTCTCAGTCACCCTGTCGCTCTGTCTCTGTACTTTTGTTCCTCCGCCCCCTTCCTCATTCTTCCACACTCCCTACCCCGTCCTCCTGCCCCGCCTCCTCCTCCCCGCCAGGTCCTCTGTCCCTCACTCTCCACTTCTTTCCTCAGTCTCCTTCTTCGATCGCCCTTCACTCTCCCTCCTTTCTCTGTCTCTCCATTCGAACTCTCAGTCCCTCCATCCCCTGGCTCGCTGTCCCGTCCCTGCCTCTCTCTGTCAACTTCCCCACCCCTTTGGCCCAACGGTCTTGACCGACGAGACGTCAGAGCGCGGACACAGGTGTCCCACAGCCGGGCGCTCTCGAGGGGACCATTCGGGCCGCCCTTGCTCCTGCTCACTCGGGTGGAGCCCATAGCCCTCGGGGCACCCGGCGGGGAAGGGCAGCTGGCCCAGGCCTTGGCCATCAGTCTGCAGCAGCCCCGGGTGCGGAGCGCACATGTGGCTCAATTACTTGGACCTCCTCACGCCACCGCCGTTGGAGCATCCTGCTCCCA